ATAGGCACTGAACGTGCAATTACATTACATTACATTACATTGAAAGATCAAAACAATGGGAGCTCTTATTGATGTCCAAGAGAGACGAAACACATCCTTTAATTTATCATATATGCTGTTTTGTGCCATTTTGTAACTCTCTCCTATCACCAAGATGAGAGAGGAGGAATGCTTTGTTCATGCCTAAAGAAATTAGCAGGATCAACTGCAGTCTTCACCCGTACCAACCTATCAAAGTTATTCTTGAAATATTTCCTTCCCCAAATGCTTGCTTGTTTATAACTTGTGTTGCCATCAAGGTTATTGATTCCAAGGTCAAGATCTCTATAATTCACATATACTTGTCGAGGATTTTTTGAAACGTAAGGAGTCATGTAATTGAGTAGCTTTCTTATCCAACTTATATACCGTTGGGATGCCTCACTACTTTCTTCTTCCCAAAGCACGGCGTATTCAATTTGATATATAATTCCAACTCTATGTGGAAATGGAAGGCTGGACTCTGATATCTCATCCATCTTGCCTCCATACGCAGTAAATTGCAATTCAGATATCTGGACCTCTAATTGATCCATCCTTTCCCAAATACCCTCCAATGCGATTTCCGGTAAAGGTTCCTTCACGTAGTCTGATTTTGTTTTGAAAAATATATCAGATGTAGGAGTCCTATCAAGTAAAGCATCTAAAGATGTGTTGCTTGGGAATCCGGCAAAATAGAGAACTGACTCGATCCAGCTCATTTCAATGCAATCTTCCTTCACCAAACCGAGCTCGGGAAAGCTCTCTTGCATCAATGAAAGAAGCCTATCTACCTCTCCAAGAAATAAGGTAGTGAATGCAGCTTGTATTGTAGTCTTTCCTCTTTGGCTAGATTCAACTTTCCTTAGGAAAATTCTTGTGAAAATATCTTCATGAAGCTTGTTAGACACGAATTGCCACCGGTGGACAAGCTTTGTTGCATTTTGTTCCAAGGTTCTTGAGACATTGAAAGCAGTCACAATAGGTGGAACTGGAACCAAGTTTATTTTCCATGCAACACCGAGGCCGAAGGTGTTTCCTCCACCGCCTCGAATGGCCCAAAATAAATCTTCTCCCATTGATTTTCTGTCATGTATTCTACCTTCAACATCAACTAATACAGCATCGGTGATATGGTCTGCGGCTAGGCCAAATTTACGGAGAATCATGCCGGATCCTCCTCCACTGAAGTGCCCACCAACACCCACAGTGGGGCTAACACCTGCAGGAAAAGCAAGGGTTTTGCTTTTCTCAGCAATTCTATAATAAACTTCACCTAAAGTTGCCCCAGCTTCAACCCATGCATTGCTATTCTCAACATCAACATTGATCATCCGAAGATTAATAAGATCAACAAGGACAAAGGGGACAATGGAAACATAAGAAAGACCCTCAAAGTCATGGCCACCACTACGCACTCTAATTTGCAAGCCACGTTTCTTGGAACAAATAACAACATCTTGAATCTGGGAAACATTCACAGGTGTAACAATGACTAGTGGTTTCGGGGTGGCGGTTGTATTGAACCTGAGGTTTCGAATAGAAAACTGCAGGACAGATGGATATGAGGAGTTTATTGGGGTGTAAATTACCTTAGAAATGGAGTCGCTGTTTTTGTTATAAAGGCAATTAAGAAAGTCGTCATGAGTGTGAGCTGAAGTTGCCCAGGAGAAAGAAAGCAGAAAGATGGACAAAAATGGCAGAATTGAAGGGATTAAGGAATTCATCTCTGTTAAAATCTTATTTGCCTATAGAAGTGGGCTTGAGGCTCCCTCTCATTTATAGTACTGAGTACAGGTGCCTGGTTTTCTGAACACTGAGCCTCTATCTAGAGTAGGGATACAATTCAACTATCATCTAGCTAGCTAGGATAGAGTTTGTTGACAATTTGGATGTTGAAAGTTCTTATCAAGAAATTAAGAACAACCTAGTTGGACAAATTCACCAAATTGTCAACTTTCGGGTGCTCATGTTGAACATCCACACCATTGCTTCGTGGATTTGCCCTCTCTATTTTTTTCTTCTTCGATTACATGGACAGTGACTTGAGCATTTTATATTAGGACGGAGAGAAATTCAACTGATCATGTTAAATACTCCAATCTATTGTTAGAGTACAAGTGGTAATTCATGGTTTTCAGCTAAATTCATTTATTTGAATCCTAATAATAATCCTCCTTTTTATTCTCTATCAAAAAACTATTTTAACTCAATTGTTTAAGCTGCTAGATAAAAGCTTTAAAATGTGATTTATATAATTTTTTAAAAAATCTTTTTAAATAAAAATCCTTTAAATTTAAAACTTGCACAGATGCACGTTATCTTGTGCTATTAATTAGATAAAAAAATGAGAGTGGTGAGATTTGAACTTATAACAATTTAATTATCAAAACTCTGATATCAAGTTAGAAATAAAAAAGCAATATATTTGTATGAGTAGTAAGGGATGCTAATTAGAATAGCAGTCATCCTTTATGTGTATTTGTGTGTGTGTGTACACAGACATACACAAAGGATGACTGCTATTTTAGGATTGTATACAATAGTAATTATAGAATACACAACACTTGATAATTAAACATATATATACGATAACTAAACTATAAATGTACGATAAGTAAATCCTTTCCATAATATGCCCCTCAAGTTGAAGAAAAAGATTCAACTTAAAGCTTGGATCGAAGATGAGTAAAACGAGTATAAGGTAGAGATTTGGTAAGAACATCAATTAATTGATCCTTCAAAGAGATAAGTCGAACCTGATAATCAACCTTAACATGTTTAGTAGAAGCATGAAATGCAGGTTTGACAGATAAAAACATGGCCCTTAAATTATCTCACCACAAATTTGTCATAGAAGGAAAAGAAAGGCAAGGTTTTGATAATAAAGAATGAATCTATAATATTTCAGCATCATCATCAGCAAAAGCTTTGTAATCGACTTCTGTGGAAGATCTAGCAACAGTGCATTGCTTCCTAAATTTTCAAGAAACAGGAGTAGTACCGAGATACACAAGATAACCACTAGTAGACTTATAATTATCAATAGTTTCAGCCCAATCAACATCAGTAACCCATAAAGCCATGAAGAGACAAGGATGACCCTCAAGTAACATGTAATCCATAAGACAACGTAGCTTGTAGATAATACAAAATACATTCAACAGTCATCCAATAATCCTTAGTGGGAGCATGCATGAACTGACACACTTTATTTATAGCATAACATATATTATGCCTAGTAAATGTAAGATACTATAACGCACCAATAATCTATCTATATTTAGTAAGATCAGAGTATGGAGCACCTGACATAATGGCCAACTTTAATGAAAAAGATGAAGGAATATCAACCAATTTATAAGAGGACATACCTACTCATTGAAGAATATCAATAGCACACTTATTTTGACTTAGTAAAAGTCTTATACAAATGGTTTTAACCTTAATGCCCAAGAAATAATGTAAGAGCCTAAGTCCATAAGCTTAAACTCTGAGCTTAGTAAAGTAATAAATTGTTGAAGCAAGTCTGAGTTACTCCCAATATCATCAACATATATAAGGAAATAAAAAAATAGCACAACCAAAGGATAAGATAAAAAGAGATGTGTCAACCTTGGATACTTGAAAACTAATGAAGAGTAGAAAGTCACTTAATCGTTTGTACCATACCCGAGGAGCTTTCTTAAGACCATACAATGATTTATGAAGACGACACAAATAAGTAAACAAAATAGATTGAAAGCAAACTAGGTGGTTGTTCCATGCACAACTCTTTTAAAATTATACCATTTAAGAAGGCATTTTGAACATCCAACTAATGAATCGGCCAACAATGAGAAATGTCGCACATAAAAAAAAATCCACGCAGTGTCGGCTCCGATGATTTTTCATCATTATTATTTGATTTGATCTTGTTGGATTCATTAGGAGTCGCCACCTAGTATTTAATTGAAGGTTACTAGGAAACCCGATTGTACTGGTCTTGTCAGAGATTCACGGGTAAGGGACCGGTTGTGGTTAGGGAAGGTATCAGCACCCTTAACGCACCCTACCTGAGGTAAGCTGCTTCATGGACTTGATGTGTTAAAGAAGTTTTAAAAATTATCTTTTCATCAGATTGTAGAAATACAACTTTCATACAAGTTTGTACTTCTACACCGTGATTCAATCAAAATATTAAATTCTTCTTTATTCTCTGCAATTTTATCATAAATAAAAAGAAAACATTCATAAGACAAATACAAACACACACACACACACATGCATTTTTTTTATTCTTTTTCTTTTTCTTTTTTCTTTTATTTTCCTTTTTTTTACATCCACATTACAAATTATAAAAATTCAAAACTAAATAAAAATTACATTAAATAATTTAAATTTTACAAAACAGTCCCTAAAACTCCAAAAATTGCATTGAAGTCCCTTATAGGGCAGCGTGAACAGTGCCCGTTTCCTCCGTGCGCCGCTGCTGCCGGAGATGGCAGAACCAGTAGATCGGCCGTCTTCCTCTTCTCTGTCTTCCATCGCCGGCGGTGGGTGTTGTGATTTGGGTTTCCAAATCGAAAGCCATGACAGATTTTGGGCAAAGCTTCCAACGACCATTACTCATCAACCATTGAGACAATAACAAATCCCAATAGTGAAATGATAAACCAACATCTCATGCAGCATATATCCAAATATCAACCCGAGTTAACGGTTGGATCTCCCTAGATCGGAGTTAGACCGAAACTGACCTGAGATTGGCGAGCC